GAGGAAGCGGTCGTCCCAGAAAAGTGAATCGACAGACGTTGAGGCGCCAACTTCAGCAAAATCCCGAAGGAACGACTCGGATTTTGGCACAAAGCTATTACTGAAGAATGACAGTATGGCGTTGGCTCAAAAAAAACCGGAAGAAAGTGGTTGAAACAGCGGCAAATTCCCTATCATTTGAAAAATTCGATTAAGGGCCAAAGAGCGCGGTCATGCCGTCAACTACTGAACGAATATCGATGCGGTCGGTTTCCTCTTTTCAATATTGTGACTCATGATCAATCGTGAATATTCTATGATTGTCGAGTGTTGAAACGGCAATGGTTGAAGAAAGGTCGATTGGGAAAATTAGTGGAAAAACGATACTCATGGGAATAAGCGATTTCTGTGTGTCGATAGGTGTTGCTCTGGCGTACTTTTTTTGGGAGCTGTTCCAGAAGGGTTAAACTTTTTACAGTGATGTTTATAGACGTCATATGCAACAAGTTGAGCAGAAAATTCTCCGATTGGTCTATCAGAATGAATGGAACGGTTCCGTTTTTGTGCTTGAAGACAACGCCCCATCCCCACAAGTCGAGGAAATCGAAGGATTTTATGGAAAACAATTTGCACTGGAATGTACTTTCACATCCCCCTTATAACCCGGATATTGCTCCTTCTGATTACTACTTATTTTTGTCGCTAAAGCATTTCCTTCGAGGCAAGCAATTCAACAACCAAGGTGACCTCGAGAACGAATTGGAGGACTACTTTCATTCACGCCAACCCGATTTTTACAAGCGAGGACTTGAAAAGTTACCAAAACGTTGGTTAAATGTCTACAATAATCATGGAAAATATATCGTATGATCTACGTTGTTACTTTTTATTTTTTGTTGAAAAAAGAAATTTTTGAAAAACCGCAATTTTTTATGGGACAACCTAATATCAGTTGATTTCATCATTTAAAGCTAAATATGTGTGAAAAAGGCATCTTTCAGAAAAAAATCTACAGGTTTTTATTCCAAAATCATATTTAATCATTTAGTTAGCACCTCGAAATGACCGCTTAAGCAAAATGTCAAAGTTAAACACAAGATATTGCTAGTTAGATAAGATTCAAATAACGTAAGTACGCAACAAATTTAAAGAACATAAGCCTCATTTTGTGATATGTAATCCAAATCCAATAACAAATCAATCCAATTGATCCCATCACCCATTCATCCCTTTAGTTCTTAATTGAGCTTTCAGCATCAAGAGTCTGAAATTGAATGAATTAGGGATGTAGCATTCATAAAAATGTAATCGCTGTATGCTTGACGAGGTCTACATTTGGTCGCACGTATTTTTTTCTGCCAACAAACCCACCTTATTCTGTAGCGCTCTAAACTGTGCCTCTCTCTGTGCATCAGACTAAAATTGAATTGTGGGCTTTGTTAAATCGTAATATCTTTAATATCGTTAATATCTTTGTTTCAAACATTCACTCACCGCGATCTTTTCTTCCCTCAGCTGACTCGTTTCCATACATTTGCCAGCCAGCATTTGCTCCATTTGGACCATTTTTCGATTCCAAGTTTCGAGTTCTTCTCGTAAGAGCCGAATTTCCTCATTGCGCTTCTAAAGTTTACAAAAAATGCTTGATTTGAATTTTTCATTGCTAGATTTACCTGAAGGATGAGAACGAGCTGCGAGTTTTGTTCTACTGATGTAGAGGTGCTTGAAGCGTTTGATGGTGACTCTAAAATCGAGGGATTGTCAGCAAAATACAGGGCGCACCGAAAGTTTTGCTACCGCCATGACTCATTTTATGCTGTTTTCTATTTTGCGATTATGGGCTTTTTTAGGCATGTTTTTGTATTACTTTTAATAAATTGAAAAGATTGACACGTGCAAAAGGTTTGGATGAAGGTCGACAATGAACAGAAAACGTTCAGCGAGCTGCATAAAAAGGAAGCGAATTTCTGAGATAATCACAGATCACTGAATATACAGATGTATCTGTAGATGTATCTCCCGTACCAGATCCAAATCAGTTAGCCAGCTCAAAGTCGCTTTGAGTCGGGCTTGGAGTGAGATTTCGGTGACCGAAAATTCGACCGATTTCGAATGCTTCTCGGCAAATGTATTAAAGTAAAAGAAGAAGGTTTTGAGCGTTTAATCTACTTTTTTTGATCTAGGTTGTTGTTATAAATTCCGAATTAGTTTTCTTGTTACATTTTACGTAAATTTAGTTTGATTTTGCGTGTGGTAGCAGAACTTTGCGTTTGGAAAGAAGCTAGCAGAACTTTTGGCCTATCCTGTAGATCTTCAATATCAATAAACCAAAATCATTGTTTGAATAGCACAAAAATTGCCTTTGAATCAGTGTTTACCTGTTCCCTGATTCCAATCCTCATCTTTTATGACATCTTGACGCAATAGTGATAGCTGGGGCTAAAATGGCTGACTACACCTATAAACCGAGCCTTCCAAAGTCGCTAAACCGATTAAACTTCACTTACCATTGAATTTTCCACACTTTCAGCCGGGATGGCAGTACTTTCAGTTGTCTCCATATGATTCATTCCATTAGATCCGTCTGTCGGATAAACAAATGGTTCGAGGCATTTCTGGAGCGAGCCTTCTCTTTGTTCTTCTCGCTTTTTCTTTGGTTTGGTGTTTTTTGGTGTCTTTGGTGCCAATATCTGAAGTTTTTCCATCAAGCTCGCTTTAAATAAACCTACCCTCGCAAATTTTTGATTCAGATAGTCATGCATTTCTTCGGAATGTTGTGGATAGCATTTATTAATCAGCTGTCTCCACTCCTCAATCATTTCTGAGTCTCTAAAATGAGTGATGATTAAAATGACTGAAAAAGCAAACATGTCATCGATCGTTTCTCCGCCACACTTTATGCGATGCTTTTTGAAGGCGGCGGGTTTATATTTCGTGTCGCCACATTCTAAAAGACAACGAGTGAATTTAAATAATATGCAAATTCTAGAAGCAAACTAACTAGAGCATCGAAATCGGCGCTTCGACGCATGAATGATGATGTGGTCAAAGAAATGTGTTGGCCCCCTATTTTTCCGACAAGTGTTACACGCCTGAAATTTTCTAACTTGATTTACTCAATGATATCAATGATATCTTATTTTCAAACAAGACTGAAACTAACAAGACATTTATCCTTTTGAGCTTCATGGTCAATAGAGAAAGATCGAGCTTCTAGCGCTTCATGGCGGATGTGATTGTGATCAATATCAGCTGGCTGTTGGAGTTCCTAAACTTTATGCTAAGCCAGAACATTGGTGCAATTGAGAAAATGTAAAGAATACCAAATTTTCCATGTTATCAGGGCTGATTTGATAGGACATACTATGGTTGTTCCGAGATCCGATAGATGATTCGTGTTGTTTTTAAAGCTTTGACTTTAATGTTTTAAGAAATCTATATTCGAGAGGAGAGGGCTAATCAAAATTAAGGCTTAGGCTTAGGCTCTCTTTTGAACAATCCAATTGTGAATTTCCACCTCAATTTCATTCACGCCTAGCCTTCCGGAACGCCGGGCTCTTTTCGTTGCTGGCATCTTCTCGAGGATATCCCTATCCGCAACCCATCTTCTAATCATTCCTACATTCACATTAAAATGAATAGCTGCCGATAATCTTCCATGCACATCCTGGTGCTTCACCACGTCAAGCTTGAAACCCGCTGTATAAGACTTGCGAGGTTGCATGATTTCTACAATAAAAAATATAAAACGTAAGGTTAAAAAACAAAAAAAAGAAAAATTAATATCCATAAAAAAAATTTCAGAAAAAAGTATTTTTTAGCAAAAACTGCTCTTATCTCTCGCTGTTATCAATGGAATTTTATGGTACATTCGATGCCGCTAGGCACCGGCCCTTTCCGTATTTTTGAGGCTTAGAAAGTCACAAAATTTCAGAAAAAAGTATTTTTTAATATCGGTCACAAAATTTCAGAAAAAAGTATTTTTTAGCGAAAACCGAAAACCTCTTGTGTACCGCTCTTATCGGAATTTTATGGTACATTCGATGCCTAGCCACCGTCCCTTTCTCGTATTTTTGAGGCTGATAAAGGAGCGAAGAGAGTAATTTCGACTCAGCATGGCTGTAGGGATGACGTCTCAAGTGAAGGGAGGTGTCGATCTGAATTATAACTTTTTCATTATGTGCAGTGCAGTTCATTGCTTTATTTGAGCTGACCTTGAAGATTTCCTTAACTTTTAGTGAATAAGATTGCCTTTATTATTTTCTTTAGGTAATTCATAAGACAAGACCTCACTTGAGGAGGGCTAAGAAGTAAGAATCGTTCCAGGGCCAAGAGAAATGGCAGACTGCGCTAGGTGCTCGCTGCGAGCTCATTCCGTAGGCCAGAGGTAAGCTCTAACCAGAGAATCCTGAATGTATTAATGATGCTGAGAATTAGAGCTTTCAAATGATATATGATACATGCGAGTTTCTATAGTTAGTTTTTTAAAAAAGAATAGTTTTAGGACCACCCACAGCCTGGCACGGTGCCAAAAAGACGTTTGCTATTTTGTGCCTCGTGATATATTTTTTAAAAGATAAGTTGTCACAAACTCTAATTATGATTTAGCTCTAATTAATTTAGCTCTAATTATGCCCTTTTTGTCTAGCTAAGAAGTTTCTTGTTCTTTTATGATATCTGCTTCATGCTTCATGCTTCTTGCTTTTATGATAACAATTAATATCCATGAACTTCAGCGCAAAATAAAAAAGGAACAGAATCAAGGTTCTTTGGATAAATGAATCCCCGACTACGTTCAGCCCCAACTGTCCAGCAGGAAAAGCGGCGTTAGCCGAAAAGACTCCTGCTTTATCGTTATCGATTGGCGTTATCGATCGTTATCGATAACAAATTGATTTTCGATCGGCACGACAACAAGGATTATAAATTTACGTGAGACTTCAACCCTCAACCCTTAACATAATTTCTGATCTTGGACCATCATTGTTAATTTAGCCTTTGCCCAAGCTCTTCGGGGAGTGATGTTACTATCTGGTGTTACGGTTAGAGTGACGGTGTAGCTCACTTCGAATTTCAGGACCTCTGACATTTCAGATTAAAACATAGCTTAGATAGCCAAATGAGCTGAAGGAACTAAAAAGTAAACATAGTCAGGAATCAATAAAGCTTCAGGTTTCAAAGCTAATTGGGTTTTCGAACCGTCTTTGTTTGTCCTGTTGGAAAATTTCTTGATAAGCATTGATAAGATTTGATTGACTTCGGTTTCTGATGTTTTGCAACATCTTGTAGCGAAAATTTACTTAAATGATTCTTTTCCGATTTAGATGTTTGGCTCTGAAAGTCTAAAAAAGAAATCCGATGAAAGAGAGCAAAGAGGAGATGTCCCTTTTTCGAAGAAATCAAAGCTTTCACTGGGTAAAGAAACTTTTGAGCTAAAGAAGGGCTTTCAGAAGTCACTCACCGATCTAATTGAGGACTCGAATGGAAATGGAGAGGTGAGAATTTCATTCAATGAACAAACTAATCAACTTTAATCTTTCTAATCCTGTATAGTTTGAATCTATCGCACCGTAGTAGACTTGGGATTCTTTCAAATCCATTCAATAAACAGCAGCTATTCGGTGGCTGAACAATATCCCTGATCCTTTCTAATCCAGAATATTGTAATAAGCGATAATTTTATTTATATCTACAGAAGTCTTAATCCTTGTTGATACATTTTTCTCCAGAACACTGTAAAAAGTCCAGAGGTTGACCTTTCTTTTCAGGATGAATATACTGAAGATGATTTCTTCACTTCACAAGCCAATATCCAAATGGTATGTAAAAGAATTTGCATCTAAATCTGATGAATTAGATAAAATCTGATGAATCTGTAGCGTCAAGCAACAATCAAGTTGTCGATATGGACATTGTTCAGCCACACAACATGCTAATGGTAATTTTACACGAGAGATAGCTTGTAAGAAGCAATTTCAGACATTCCAAGATCGGGTTCAACAAGAAATAGATCAGCCGATACGACACAGTTGCAAGGTGAGTTGGACTTGACCTTGAGCAAGAATTTGATTGCGAATTTAAAAATCTACAGGGCGTCCCAAAATTATCCGCACAACTTTCTGGAAAAGTAGTTGTCGCACGCTTCTATTAGGTTGTCCAATAAGTAATGCGTGTTACTTATTTCGAAACTGTTGCGAAATCGCTTCGAGCAAATATATGCTCTTTTTAATCATCAGCATCTTGTGTTTATTTTTATATATTATTTTATTCATTTGCCTTTGTTTTATAATAGTTATGTTGTTTTGCAGATGAAAGACAAAAAGTTTGTTGTCCGCGCATCAATGCTGTATGATTTCAAACGAGGTAAAACTGCAGCGGATTGCCATCGAACTATCTGTGCAGCATTTGGAGAGCATTCAATTTCAATCAGCCAGTGCCAGCGCTGATTTAAACGATTTGCGGACGGAAACGAGTCGTTAGAGGACGAGGAACGCGCTGGAAGGCCAGTCGTTTTTGATAACGAAGCTTTGCTTAACACCATTGAGTCTGATCCAACTCAAACTACTCGTGAGTTGGCCGAATTATTTGGTTGTTCCAAATCAACAATCGACAATCATCTCCATGAGATTGGAAAATTTAATCGATGCGGAAAGTGGCTTCCCCACAAATTGAGTGAAGCGAATAAAGCTGCTCGTGTATCAATTTGTGGGTTTCTCATTGGCCAAACAAAGAACTCTGGTTTTATTGATTCCATCGTTACTGCGGACGAGAAGTGGATTTCTTTTGACAATGCAACGAGGAAGCACCAGTGGTTGTCGCCGGGAGAAGATCCGAAACCGACGCCAAAGCCAGAATTGCATGGAAAGAAGGCCCTATTGTGCGTATGGTGGAATTCTAAAGGAATTTAGCCAAAACACTTGAGAGTTATCTTTAATATTATTAATAGTGTTAAATGAGATTTTTGCATAAAATAAATATTGACAAAAACATTTTCGAACATTTTTTTCTGTAGAAAATCGTCAAAAGTGGCAGCACATTGGATAAGGGTCGTGCTCATTCAAGGACTTGTTAAATGAGTTGCATAAATCTGATTGGCAAGTCTTTAGTAGGTAAATGTAGCCAAGATTAAGGGCTACAATTCTCTACATAACACTTGGTACTTTAAAATAGATTAAGTGTGCGGCAACTACTTTTCCAAAAAGTTGTCCGGATAATTTGGAAACAATCATGTAACTTTTCAGTTTCGAATGGAAACGGGGCTTGAATGCGATTCGGCCGTTCTGGAGAGTGAATGGTTGAAGCATTGCTTTATCCACATGAAAGAACCAGTCTATCGATGTATACGCACGTGTTCGATGAAGGTTTGAACATGAAAATTTAAAAATTTTGCTAAATTTGGATAAGGATAAGTTCATTCTTGGAAATTTGTTAAGTTTTGGCCTCCAGAGTGGTGTGTTTTTCAAAATAATGCGGATTTTTTTCAGAGCCACTCCAAAGAAGCGATGCAGAATCACAAGACCAGTGAGCACAAAGTTTTCACCAAGCCAGCTTTTAACAAGTGAGTACTAAAAGAATCTAAATTGTATTTTTTAAGTTTCATTTAAAAGAATACACTTTCAGTGAGTTCAAAGTGATCATGGAGATGCAAAAAGTCGCAACAGAGGCATTTCCGGAGTTGAATGATCAAGTGAGAGAATGGGTGAAAGGCCAAATTGAAGCGGGGAATTCGGATTGGAGAATGGATTCACAAGTGAGTTTGATGGAAAAATGTTGTAGAAACCAAAATTTCAATGGCATAGTTAAGCTGAAATCATTGTTTGATAATGGAATAACTTTCTAGTTTCAATTTGACGACTCGAAGCTAGTCTACTACCCAAATGTGGTGCAAGTGGATAGGGTTATTCAAAGAGAAGTAGAAGTGAACTTTAATTTGAAAAGCTTTCTAGACAAATATTGTTTAGAAAAAGAAGAGCAATGTTCCGCAAAATGTTGTGAATCAAAATGCAAGATCGATTCCTTCAAATGGTGGAGAGGTCCCAGCGAATCATCGGATGGAAATGGTTAGTATTGGAAGAGTTTGATAGTTTGATAGTTGACGAAGCTCAGATCATTGTTAAACAGTTTAGTCAAATATTATCCAGAAATTCCTATTCTTTGTTCTGAAAATAGTCAATTTTCAGAATCATGGTCCTACTCAAAACGTCCGTCCTCCTGTGCCGGTTTCAAAATCGAGTACATCAGGCATTCAACCCTCAAATCAACCAGTTGAGGTTTGAATTCAGATTTGATCATGACTATTTATTGGGAAATCATTTTATATAAGATGTTTAGAACAGAGATAATCGATTTAATGCCCAAAAGCCTACAGCTCCATCAACCTCCGGACAACCACAACCACATCAACACACAGAAGCGGTTGGTTTTTGGAAGTTAACTTTCAAAATCAATGCGAATTTCACATTCAAATTGATTCCCAATACGACATGATGTCAAATTCAAGATTAGTTGAGTATTTTGAGCTAAAGAATAGTACTAAAGTAATCTTTTCCTTTAAGAGCTAAAGAATAGCATCAAAGTAATCATTTCATTTAAGCATTAGCTAGTGTACTTGAAATTGTACCTCAAAAACCAGTGAACTAATCAAACATTCCTTTCAGAGGTGGTCAAATTCCGTTCACTATCCAAGTCCAGGAGCAATTCAGGTAGATCCTAGTTTTCAACAAGCAAATCGACTAGCCCAAGTGAGCTGAGAAAAGTTTTCAAAAGATAGATAAAAAATTTAGCCACCAATCATCCCGGAACCAAAAACAGATTGGAAATGCAAGGTCTTCTGCCTTTTATATTTTCAACTTGATAGCTCAAAGTTTAGAAATGCTATCACTATACCGAAGCCACCCTCGATTCATGTTGGAAACACGCCAAGATGCATGTGAAGCAAAAGTACGATGGTTGCTCGAAAAGGAGGTACAGATGTGTGATAAACCCCTAGAATTTTACCAAGAAATTACAATTTCTATGTAAATTGTACAAATTGTGGAAATGATTTATTTTACGGGTAGAAGTCGAGTGCCTCGCTCGTAGAAAATCTTCTGTTTTGACCAATCTGTTAGCTATTTTTTGCGTCGTCGTCGTCGTCGTCGGGGAATGCGACGTCGCGCGAAAATTTACATTAAAAATTTACAACAGAAATTCAAATTTAACATGAAAACATTTCTCCAAAACACATTTTTTTCCCTGAAGGTCATTTTCTACTTTTGCACTCGTATCGAGAAAGATGAGCGGCACTGATTTCTGACACGTTGCCATCTCTGTGTGTCCGTTAAATCATGTGGGAACCAAGTCCCTAATACAGTTTAAACCCAAGTGTATTCAATTGTTCGAGTATTGTTGTATGATCAACTAATAACTCTTCTGCTAATTCGCAAAAAAAGCCTTTTGTTGGTTTGAAAGATTTCGAGCAACTTGGCATTATCCAGCTGAACTGTTGGATGACCCTCTTTCTTTGTCTTCGAAGATTCATACCCAGAACGGAATTTAACAAACCGGTTTGCACATGTCCGTGGTGAAGCTGATCCTTCCACATAAAAATTTCCAATATTAGCTGAACACTAGAGGCCCATGTGTTCTTGTAGCAATTCGTACAACATAACGTGTCACAGATTTCAGGCGGTAGATTTTCAATAGTTAGAACAAAGTAAAGTAAAATTTCAAAAATCAAATATTTCGAAAGTGAAAGTCCATTGTTTTCGCACGAGTGAATGTTCACTTACCTATTTTCCACAAACACTCTCCCTCATTTTTGTTTACATCTCTGGGATTTAATTTGAAAAAGCGTGCCAAGTCATACACATCAACCCAATATTATAAAATTTAGTTCACCGGATTTGTATCGTGAGGTTGCTGAAGAGACAATGATTTGGTTTCCCAGATTGGACCCAACAGCTATCAATGAATGCAAAAAGAGAAAGTTGCTGGAAAAAGAAGCGAAAAAACGAAGGCAAAGAGAAGAAGAAGAAAGGTTGAAAAAACAAAGAGAAGAAGAAAGATTGGAAAGGCAAAGAGAAGAAGAAAGATTGAAAAGGCAAAGAGTTGAAGAAGAAAGATTGAAAAGGCAAAGAATTGAAGAAGAAAGATTGAAAAGGCAAAGAGTAGAAGAAGAAAGATTGAAAAGGCAAAGAGCAGAAGTAGAAAGATGGGAAAGGCAAAGAGAAGAAGAAGAAAGATTGAAGCAACAACAACAAGAAGGGGCAGAGCAACATAGACGAGAAAGGGAACTGGCACGACAACAGCAAAAACAACAAGCTCCAGTTCCAGAGCAACAACAAGAAACGGAAGAAGGCGTGAAACGATTTAAATTGTCACAGCTACCTCAAACTCCTGTTGAACGACCAGCTACAAATTCGCCAACTGTCAAACAAAAAGAACCAGCAGTTACACCAGCTTCAGTAAAACGAAGAAAGCCAACTACTGCGCCAGCTTCTTCTACTTGTGTGATCAAAGAAAAGATCCAAGGAGCTTTTGAACAGGAAAAAGTGCTGGTTCAACCGGATCCTATACTTCAGCTTGATAAACAAGAGTCACAAGAACTGCAAGAAGATGTTGTTGCCCAAATATCAATTGAGAATCGAAAAACCGTTGCCCTAGAAGAGCCTCAAACCGTTTATGAGCACGTCACTCCTCCACTCATCGACAATCTTCCATCGCTCAATGAAACAAAGACCATCTCAGTTTCAGCTTTACCGGGTGTCATAATGGTTTGTCAAGTGAGTGTTTGGAATTTTTGAAAGTTATACAATAGTTTGAGCAGTCCAACTTATCTCATTGGACACATTTTAGATGTGCATGAACGAGATCTCTCTGGGTGAAGTGGGGGAAAATAGTCGGTCGGCTTTTGAGCACGCTGCCACCCACGCTAACAAAAATACGGTAAAGGTAACTAAAGTTTTTGTGTTCTTGTCTGGTCATGTCCTTTGTGGCTACATTTGTTGTGAGAGACCGTTTCTTCAGATGCATCTCGATACAGAGTACGAGGGAAGCGATTTCGACTCAAGTGTCATCAATTTACTGTGAGTTTACTGTGAGTTTGGTCTAAAGTGCTAGGTTTAAGCTTCGGAAATCATTTTAATATAGTGTTTTAAGCTTAAAGATGAATTTCAGTGACGCTAAGGGCCTTGACAATCAGCGTGAGACAGCCGTTCGGTGTTTTCCGACTCTGAATAGAGAAATTCGGCATTTTGCCGAAAACTATCAATCATTGTTTCCGGAAATGATTCAAGCTCAAGAAAAAGTTCGAGAACCGTCGAATCAAGTAAGTGCATTACAATCCCAAATTGAAATCACACTCCTCTAGGCACAAATTCCATATGTTGACGACGATGTCCCCAACGGCAACTTACGATGCCAGGATAAGGGCTGCAAGAAGATTTACAAAAAAAGTTCGCCAGAAAGTCTCTTCAAGCACGCGATCAGTCACTCACGGATGCGATACTACTGTCAAAAAAAAGGTTTTCAAATGAATTCGATCTTATATCAAAACTTCAGAATGCCCCAAAAGAGCGCAAACGAAGAAGATGAGTTGTGGACATGTGGGATCAATCAAAGATTGCATGTGAGTTAGAAAGCTGTAATATAGTGGATAAATATCTTTAGATAAGAAAGAAGAATATAAGAACAGAAGAAAAATAAATATCATTAGATCTTGTAGTTAGATACCTCAATATAAGAAAATAAGTGTTAAAAAAGAAAGATTATTAGAAATTGAGATCCAAGTTTAGAGAAAAAAGCATGGTGGAAGCTTGGCTCGAAAAGGCGAATGCCTGCTTCCCGAATAGGGCTGAAGCGTTTCAAAGCTTTGTTGAGAAAAATTATCGACGATATCTACAAGAAGATGAACCGGTTAGTTGAAAACTACAGCACAATTGAAAATATTCAGTTTCAGGGTTTTTTAAGAGACGAAGAGGTTGAGCATGGCGGTGTTCGTGATGAGGAAGTGGCACAGGATGATTTATTTACTGTGAGTTGATAAACTATGAGAATAGAGGGCTTTTTGATTGAACAACAAGTTTCCAGAAAGTAATCAAAGATGAGGTAATGGATCAGCTTGATATGAGTGAACATGATGAAAAGGAAAATGGAGATGAGAGAGTGGAGATGAGAACGGGAATGGTCAAGGGTTTGTTGATTGCTGGTGAGTTTTGAATCAAAAATACCTTACCGTAAATACTGTAATTGGACCCCACCCCTCTAATAGTACCCCACCTAAGGCGTAATTACAAACAACGCTTTTAAACTGGAAAATTTTCATGTATTTTCAGAAAACGCTTTTATTTTTAATTTTATCCCATAAATTTGTTGTTTTTAAATTTGGGCTGGCTACTTTACGCCAAATTTTGTGCACAGCTTGCCATAACTTTCTTCTAAGTGGGCCAATATTTATGATTGTAGATCTCAACAAGTGCAGCAAAGTAACACCAAAATCATAAAGATTGGCCCACTTAGGAGAAAGCTATGACGAGTTGCGCAAAGAATTTGGCGCAGAGTAGCCACCCCCCCCCCCCTTTTTTTTTACTTTATTAATTTTATTTCAGATATGGATCTAGATGGAAAATCGCTCGATGGATTTGAGGAATATCGGGCTCGTTGCGAATACGAAGAACACAGGGAATTCTTCAAAGAACCGCGTGATGAACGAGCCGAGCAAGATGCCAATGGGAGCTCGGTCAACGCTGAAGTTGAAGGATCTTCAAGTGAATCGGATGAGCTACCTACAAAGAAAAAGAAAAAGGCCATTGATGTGAAAACGAAATTGGCTGTTGCAAAGATGGGCAATGATGTTTCGATCACAGCAGCCGCTGCATTCTATAAGATTGATCGAAAATGTGTGCGTTCCTACATCAAACAAGAAATCGAGCTTGAGAAAGTCCACGGAAAACGCAAGAGACTCAATGGAGCCGGACGCCAGTTGAACTCGGAGGAGATTGATATCGGTTTGACTGAATGGGGTAACTTGAGTAGTGGAGTAAAATAGTAACCCACCCTCTAATAGTACCCCACCCTAGAGGGGGGGAAAAATAGTACCCCATGGGGTCCAATTAGGAAGGTAGGAATATAGAAATACAGTTTAGAATCGTACAAATTTGTTTCAGAAAGTTGTTCACCCGCTTCCAATGCAAATGACGATCAAGCGCTGTCTAGCCCGGCCTCTGAGCAAAATAATGTAAGTCACAAGGTTTATTTTGTATTTTGTGCTCAGAAATAGAAACACATATCATTTGGTGCACTAAATATATGATTTAAACTCTGAAAAGATTTAGGGTAGCTCAAAGCGAGAGTGTGTTAGGTTTTAGCTCTTACTAGCAGAAAGTACACCATGATCTAGTGATCTGTAGTTAGTTGCATTTTTCTCTTTCTTCTTTCATCTTCGATTATAAAATCGATTAACATTTTAGATGTAAAATTCACAATTTCAGACTAAAATTGCGCAAGAAATTGACGAGCTACAAAAGCTACGAGAGGAATTGGACACAAAGAATCGAGGAATCGCTGAAAAGAAAAAGGAAAGAAAACCATTGCTAATGCTGGATCCAAATGCGATTAGCAAAGAGCAGAAGATCGATGAATTGAAGATGTTGGAAGCTGCAACTACTGAAAATCTGAATATTCAAGAAGAGAGGAGAGCGCTGGAAGCGCTGGAAGCGCCGGAAGCGCCGGAAGCACATCTTGCTGGAGCGCCGAAAGCACATCTTGCTGGAGCGCCGGAAGCACATCTTGTTAGAGCGCCGGAAGCGCATCTTGCTGGAGCGCCGGAAGCACATCTTGCTAGAGCGCCGGAAGCGCATCTTGCTGGAGCGCCGGAAGCACATCTTGCTAGAGCGCTGGAAGCGCGTCTTGCTGGAGCGCGGGAAGCGCATCTTGCTCTTCAACAAGAACTGGCTAAGGAGGCTCAAGCGAGTACTCGGAACCTCAGCTTTGTTATGGTAAGAATTGAAGAAATTTGTTCAAGCATTGTCATTTTAATCTCAAGTTGAGAATTAAATATAGATTTCAGCAAGAACTTACCGATTCCGATGAGATGATCTCACTTTGGAAGCAACTACTAGAGGCGGATCCAACGGCGCAAAATTCGACGACAATTCTGCAACAAAAAGAGCAAGAGCTCAAAGATGTAAGTGAAATAGATAAAATTCAGCAAAATATTACGCAAGAAAGTTTGTAGAAAAAGTTTGCACTGTGATTCCTCAAAAATCAAGCCATAAATTCTTCCCCAATTTTTTTGGTAAAATTGACTATTGAGGGTGCGCCATAATTGTCGCAACAAGATAAAGTTTTGATTTTAAGGCAGGCAAGAGCAAAAAAAAGACAAATTTTTAACTGAATAACATTTATTGTAGATTAAAAATTATAAATGAACTATCAAATTAAATTCGGCCACCAATAGCATTTAAGCAGGCTCGCAGGCGTTTCGGGAAGGTGTCAACGGTAGCGACCAAATAGGCTGGACCAAGCTCTTCCCATGCTTTAAACAGTGATTTCTTCAAGCCTTCGATGTTTTTGTGGGGCTTTGAACAATTTTGGCTTCTTGAACCGACCATTTCGCTTGTTAAGAAGGCCTTCAACGGTAAATATCTTTTCATCTGGGAACAAGATATTGTGATGGTCAATAACTGATCTGCTCTTAATTTTCGCTGGTTTTTAGCGGTATTCAAAAGAAGTTGAGCCTTTTTTTTCTTGTAAGCTTATTCTTGTAAGCTTGTTCTTGTACCCTTGAGCTTATTTTTGAGGCTCCGACGCAATGAGGTGCTTGAAATCATCTTCTTTGCCATTTGCCTTGCCGACTGGTTTGGCTTCTTCCGAATTCGGTCCCTCACTCGCTTGATGTCTGGCTTTGTGACGACAATTGAGCGTCTACGGCTTCTTGGTGCATCAGCAATTGTTCCCGGAGCTTCGTAGCGTTGAATAGTGCGGAAAAGAACACTTCTGTAGACTTTAAGATGCTTATGAATCTTCGGCGCCGAGACTCCTCGCTTGTGCAATTCGATGATCGATTGTGGGGGATTTTCCAGCCATTCTAAAAGCAACACATTTTATATGAGAATAGTTTCAATTACCGCAAATCCTCTAAAAAGCGCCGCGGCGCTATTTAGATGATTTACGGTATATTCCAAATATAATAAAAACACAAAAAAACAGGAATGAAGCTTAAATCAACGGGTTATTGTCCTTGAATGCGCGTGATGCCTTGTTGCGACAATTATGGCGAACCCTGTATTTCAAAAAGTTTTTGATGAAAAATCAGAGTGGGTTGCAGGTAAAAATAAGAGATTTCTTCAGCTGAAGTGATTTGGTCACTTTTTAAGTGACCAGCTTTTAGACAAGTTTTTAATGAGTTAGTGGATAGGTGACCCCATTCAAAACCAAAAATCAACTACTTAAATAGGGAAAATTTGTGATTCTCTATTTTATCTAGTGCTTTAACTTTTCAGAATCACCTATTTTAGCAAACACTCAGTGCCAAGAAGATGACACGAAAAAAAAATAGAGCTTCTCTGTAAAATTTTTTGGTCAAAAATAGAGATTATAAAGTGTTATGCTCATTTATGTTACGTTTAGCCCATAAGGAATGCAAAAAGTGAGCTGAATTTAAGCTGGAAAATAGTACTTCTTCAAAAATCTCTAAAATTTTACGGGAAAGCTGCACTCATTTTTTACGAATAATATCTTGGAGTCGACTTGTAAAGAATAGAATAAAATGCTCTTGAATTCGTGGATTCGTTTTTAAGAAATTCCAGTTCAAATCCGTGCAAAGACTTTCTTGCCGACCTATTAGCAAAGAAGAAGTGGGAGAACATTGAAATTTTAGCAAGCGTTAACTCTTGGATATATGATGATTGCTTTGTTCAAATTGAGGAAAAAGGTACGTTTGGAGTTGCCCACAGTTTAAATCTATGTAGCTTCTGAATTAGGCAAAAAATTTAAACCCAGATTCAAATTCAACCCCTTCGGCCACAAATTGAAACTTTCCAATATAAAGCTCGATTTCAGAACACCGAACCCAAGAAATAGAACGCTCAACTGAAGGAAAAAGTGTAAAGCTAAAGCGCAAGTGGAATGCACTCCTTCAACTTCAGCTTCCACCACTTCAGCCACAAAACCCAATCATGATGACGATGGAATCGAGTGTTTAGAGTGAATTGGTTTTTGTTTAGATAGACTGTTATTTGTATCGTGTAGTGCGTAATAATCTTTCTTAGTTTTTGAACATATTGCTTTGGTTAGTTCAGGCTATTACTCACAAGTTTTCACATCGAAATTTTCAACTATCATATCGAAACTACTTGAAATTTTCATTTCCCGGTATTTTTTTAATATTTGAATCTGATCTTCATGTAATTCTCTTCTGCAAAGTTTCAGTTCAATTCATTTCTGTGTGTAGTTCAATTCATGATTTTGCTTTCAGTTCTAGCCATTCAATTCAATTCATGATTCAAACTATGTTAAACGTTAATCTTTAAACGAGATTTTCTTGAGTTCTTCTATTCTAGTCAATTCTTTCGAGGATATTCATTTACATCGAATTTTTCTTCTTTTTTTGATACTCAATCAGATGAAACCTTTATTGAAAACTTTCTTCGTATAAATTTTCAAAAAACATTCAGTAGTTTAGCAATCCAAACAAACTGGTAACACTTTAGAAAAATATAAAAAAGACTAACAATGCATTTAGCATTCGATTTTGCGTTATTATTTTTCCATTTTGCCTTTTTTTGCATTATTATTTTTCTACTTTTTACAGATAAGTTTTGAGTTTTAAATGAATTTTTAGAGATATTTGAACTCCCTTAAACGCTAGTTTTGGATTCATATAATGTGTTTATTCAACTTAACCATTCACTTTTAAACCCTAAATATATGATCTGAAAGCTGAAATAAACACAATCGTAGTAATAAAAAAACTGTAAATAAAATTGTAATAATATTGAAGGAGATAAAAGAAAAAGAAAGAAAAAAGAAGAAAAGAAAAGAATAAAAGATAAAAAGAAAAGAAGCCTTACGCCAAAAGTTTTCCTGTTAATTTATAATGCAATAATCTTGTGTGAACATGTCGATAGAATCCGAAATAGCTCAGTTGAACATCTATCACTTGTAAGAATATGGTCCGATCTTTGATTCGCGCAGAAAATAAAATATAAATTCCCACTAAAAAGTTGCAAAATGGGCGATTTTTAACGTTTTTGCCTTTGCTTGACTTGCCTTTGCTCCCGGAAAACGCCTAAAGTCGAAGCTTTTTGAAGAAATCGCTTAAAAGATATTGTAGAGGAAAAAGCCGCTTTTCTAATGATATGAATAGTTATTTTACTAGTTTCATTCTCTTGGGAAATGTATTTTTGTGAAAAACGGCTAATAGACTTTTATTTTTATTAATGAGCAATTGAGCAATAGTTTAAAGCCAAAAGAAAACCAGCACTCGTAATGGTTAAATCATGGTTTAAACAAATGTAAAATGTGTGAATTGATCTTGTAATTTTGTAAGTTTACAAAATTTAAATCTTCTTAAACGAATTTTTGTGTTTTGGAACAATTTTCTTGTCAAAGACTTTCAGTGGGACTTCAGAGGATGAAAAGAGGGCTCCTTCAGCGCTTTGTAGTCCAACGAAATGGGCTTTTCTGGAATAATTTTAAATAGTCATTTAGAATACAGTTATATTTAAAATTTTTGATAGGTTTTTGCAGTTTTGCTAATAGAAAAACTCACGATATCGGAATTGGGGCATCGCTCGAGTCACTGCGACGAGTTTTGGCACCGTGAAGTCGGCGGAAATCTGAAGGAATTGTATAAAGAGGTTAAAAATCTTATATTAATCTTTAATCTGTTAACCTTTAGCTAAAATCCCAGCTAGGTCAGTTAAAAGTTAGACTACCTTTGCCTTTTTTACTTTAAAAACAGAACATGAAGTTAGTACGAGAAGAACTTCGCAAGAAGACATTGTTAAATGTTAACTTTTTACAGTTTATTACTACAGTTCATTAGAACTAAAAAATATCAAATTTGTATTATTGTTTGCAAAATTACTTCTTGAATATCGTATTTGCTCATGGATGATGGCTCCGGGTGAAAACAGCAAATCTTGCCCCAAAAGACTCGGATTCGTCAAGTTGACACTCACCTGAAAATCTTAGGGTAATAGGAACAAAACCAGCTCTCACATATCTTTCCAAAAATCAAAAGATTGCCATCCTCAACCAATAGATGTTGTATACTATTAGAAAGCCGTAGATCTCCTCTACAAAATCGTGCAAAAAAAATTTTTGAATTGGATTGATTATTGGGGGGAAGAAGAAAGAAGAAGTTTGTTAAGAAGTAAACGTAGGTTGAGTGCTCGCAACTATCGCTTCGACGGTGCTTTTCGCTTGGAATTTTTTCACTTTATACAGGTATTCCAGTATTTCAGTATTCCAGTATTCCAGGATATACATTACTCAAAATTTATACCAAAGCTCAAACGACTAGCTTAGATTCTAACGAGATCCAAAGTTGAAAGTAGCCAAGTTTGACCTAAAATGGCCTAAAAGAAAGATTTAGCTCTAGAAGACGAAATGAACAAACCAAAGAAGTTCTTTTCTTTTATGTTATTTTGAAATACCTTTAATTGACAGTATTTTCTAATGGAAAACCCGGGACATGGCTATTACAGAAACAGAGACCAAAACACACCTCCCAGAAAATGATCATTAAAAGTCATCCAAGTTCCCAATAATCAATCCAATTTAAAATCTTCTTGCACTATTTTGTAGAGGAGATTCACGGCTTTCGAGCAGTATATAACACTTATTGGCTAGGCTTGCAATCTTTTTATTTTTGGAAAGATATGCGAGCGCTGATTTCGTTCCTACCACTCTAATAGTTGATAAAATATTTGATTTCCTATGACATTTACATTTTACATTTTTCCGAGCTATTTAAAAGTTCATCATCTCTTTCATCAAAATGATCAAATGATCAAAGTTCATCATCGAACCTCTTTCCCATTGATCATCTCTTTTCTCTCTTCAATCACTTTGCTCCCATTTCGATAGAAATATATAATTGGGAATAAATTCAAATTGTCTTCTGATTTCTTGAAATTCTCGCTAGGCTTCTTATCGATTTCCCCATCGTTCAACATTTTGAGATATGTTTTCGAGAGGGGAATCGAGACGGATTGAGTCTAAAAGTTTCATTTTCTTGCAGTCTCATAAAAGCTTTTCAACCTTTTCTCCCAACGCTTTCTTTGCCTTCTTCGATTTCCTTCGGCTGTATGGCCCTAGCATTTGAGGATTTGAGAAATCTAACTGGGTCTGCGTGACTAAATTTAGCTATTCTAACAATCTCCTTTCATAAACAAAACTTTTCTCTCCATGAATGGTTCCTTCAACTCTCGTATCCTTGTAGTGACTTGTTCCACTAACAATAAAGCTAAAACGTGTCTTGTGCAAGAGGAATTGTTGTTCAACCATAATCAAAGAAGTAAATTGTTTTTACCCTTTCCCAGAAAAATCTGGAACCACTGAGAAATCCTTTTGATACTGTTCTCCAGAGAATGTGCCCAGTTTCTCAACTCCTTGATCAAGGACCTAAAAATTCTTGACTCTATTTCACCGCATCTCCTACCTTATCCATCATCTCATCCGTATTTATGTAAGGATCTTTGAACTCACTGATCAAATCATTATCACTAAACTTCAAATCATTTTGTTTCTACTCTTTTAAACCTCAATGTCAATTTTTGTTCGGGTGTTGTAGATGGCTCGAGTTCGTCTTGCGAGGCAGAGATTGTTGTCGAATCGTAATCAAAGTCAGACACTGGTTTACCATTTCTGAATCGAATAATGAATGATAAACTTATCAAAGAAACCCAGGAATATCGTATTCTGGAGGTAAAATTGTGGGTGGAGTTGTTGGAGAGGTATAAGGGAAGGATTCTGTCGATGAGGTGACTTCGACCTAACATTTAGATTATCTTTTTAACTCCATGTCTGCCCTACCGTATTCCCCATTCCAATCCCAACTTCATTATCTTGATCGTTTGAATAATAGGGTGTTGTTGTGGTCGTTATAGTTGTGCTCATCGTTGTTCCTAGATATAAATGGGCATCTTTTCAAAGTAAATAATTATACCAGCAGTCTCCAGAACTGTCTCCAAAGAAGCGGCTCCAGCGAAAGGAGTATCTTCATCGTTGGAATACTAATTTTACAATCACACAGAATCTAAGTTTTAAGATTTACCTCAACAACTCCATTTTCACCATAGGGATCTTCGGTGAATGAAGGAGTTGTACTAGTTGTATCAGGTAGTTCCTGATCAGCCAATCCTCTCCCGGTTGGCTGAAAAAAGACGTAAATGTATAATGTATAATGATTCAAATGGATCTTGAAAATGATTGTGGGAGATTTGATACGCACCCCGCCTCTTTTGCCATTGGCAATCTAACTTTAAGCTCGAATTTCTTGGTGCTGGGCTGTCGAATTAAAATATTCTTGGTATCATTAGATGCGCCAAGTCTTTCTCTGACGATTGGTACAAAAACTATTTAAATTCGAAAGCCCAAAACCAAGATATTTGAGCTCAAAGTTAGATTACTATTGGGGAAGGGGCGGGACGCTGATAAAAGGTCCGAAAACCCTTGAAAATCGTCTTTAAGGTTTTACTATTTTATTCCAAAAGCTAAACTTTAACAGTTTGGTACTGAAGAATTAAACTTGAACAGATCTTCCACTCACCGATTTCCTAATCTCGACTTCAATCTCCGGATCTTCTTCTCCGTTGATCGACACCGATTCGTTCATTTTCTGATACAATCGATCAAAATTATCATCAGTAACAATGTACTTGGGTCTTTTCAAAGAACCCGGAAATAGCTGAAGAACAAATTAAATGAAGGATGGAAAAAAAGACTCAAACCGTTGCTTTCTTCTTCGAAATTTGCACAATTTTCCCTGGTCCCTTTGGAAGTATTGGTAGATCACTGAAACCCAATAGAGGTGATTCATGAATAAGTTATAGCCCAAAATGACTCACTTGGGCGTTTGAAACATCGGCAAAGACATGATGAGTTTATTCTTCAGCATTTCTTCTTTCATTGAATCTTTGGAGAGTTGAAATTTCGAGGACCAAGCTAGGAATTATTATGAAATAGTTTGATACAATAAAATACGTGATGGAATCAATTGATCATTCGATTGTGTCTCAGAGATTCCATCAATGGAGTCCAATCGGAACTCACGTTTCGTTCTCCATCTCGTTGATGCTAAAGAAAGAAATTTTACGGTAAGGGAAACTGTTTCCTGCAGTACTTACTATTAGATATTGAAAAGATCAAAATAGCTTAGCTTTCCTAGGTATTCTGTTGTCTTTTCTTATTAATTGCCAAAGAAAGAACATTGTGAAACTTACCACTCAATTTGAGCCCAGCTTCAACTTTCAAAAAGATTAAGAAAAGTAATAAGAACAATTGAAACTTCTTCATCTTCGAGGCATCAATGTCTTGGAAGTCTAAAATGACAATAAGAAAGGAATCACAAACCAGTACACCGTAATCTTCAGTAGACAGTAGTCAGTCAGACTACTGTAGTGTTTTACAGTAGTCTTACAACTAGTGTACAGTAAAAAAACTATTCAGTAACCAAATTAATGAGAGACTTTGAGTTTATCAAGAAGCGAACTTTTCTAGTTGTGAGGAAAGAGAGGCTATCAATGCAGATTGAAGGAGTGAAAGTTTTCCGGGTTCAATGCAAAGGACAAAGTTGGTTGGATAAAGGGGGAAAGAGGGGGAAAAGGGGAAAAGAGTTACAAAAGGAAAGAGAAGGGATAAAGGAAATCCTGAAAGTATGGATGGATTGCAGGAAAAAGGAGAAGATTTTATACTAGATTCAGAGTCAAACTTGAATTGGGAAGAGGAAATCATTAAACCGGAAACCGATCAGAGAAGTTAACGATTAAACGAAAGATTGGACAAAAAACACAATGCGAGAACAAAATTAACGTTTGATTTACTGTTTGCAGATATAAATGGATTTTCTAAATGAGTTCTTGGTCGTTTTAAACCAAGATAAAGGTTTGGTTTTATGTTTTTCAGGACTAGACTTTATCTAGATTTTTGGACAAAATGGCGTGTTCAAATGGCGATCAAATGGACATTCTTTGTTTGAAATTTTCAAAGATAGATTGAGTAAAAAAACTAAATTAAACTTGATTATACAAGTCAAGAAACATAGCAATAAGATAACTTGAACCAATTGTCCAACTATGAGAAGTAGAAGAGAAGATTAGGTAAAACCACCCCCTCTCTCTCCAGGAGAAACCATTTAACTTCAGATTTATGCAAATTTCCGACACACAAACGCGATTCATCATTTCTTGATTTGAGGTTATTCAAGAAACAGGTTTCCAGTTCTTTACGATATCTTTCATTCAGGTTTCGGGTAAAAGTGAAGAGTAAAGAAAGGAAGGAGGAAGAGGAAGGAGATGATAATGAATAAGGAAATCAATGATGAAAGTAATCACAAAGTTTGTGAGTCTCAATAATGAAAAATTCAAAAACCCGATTGGAAATCCAAGTCTGACTTACTTACTAGTCAATTTACTGAAAATCTGTCAAACTCGTTTCTAAAGTCTTCTCCAAAAAAGACTCCAAAAGGGTGTTCATGCAATCGAGTCGACCGTAAAGGAACAGAAGATTTCCCCTCTTTTTCTCATCAAATCCTTAAAGTGAAAGACTCCTCAAATCCTTAAAAAAGGTGAAGTGAAAAATCCTTAATCTCTTTGAAAGAAAGTGCGTTCATCCATTTTTTGTGGACTTTCATTTTCATCTTTCATCTGACTTCTTAGAGTGAAGTGTAAGTTGTTTGAAGTGTTTTGTTGTATTCATAAAATCCATTTTATTGTCAATCAGAAAGCAAATGATCTTTAAATGCCAAAAAATCTTTAATTTCTCGGAGGTTTTACGATAGAATTCTCTAAATTTTTGATATAATTGAACGCTAATAACATGGTATCTAATAATGTAAACAACAAAAATCTTCGTGGCGAAACACGGATTTTACGGGCGTGAAAATGTCGTTACTATTCCAGCTAGTCGTTCTTAGCCGATTCACCACAGAAAGGGTTTATATTTTAATGCTAATATCTCTCTTTAACTATTATATAATTGCAAAGAATAAAAGAAATCCACGGTGAAATGAGAAAGTTAAGGCATAGTAAAGTCGCAAAATTTTATATGCAACAACCTAATAGTTTTGAGGAAAGAGAAAAAAGGAGAGCGGGGTCAGAATGCTCGAAATCTTTCTTATTTCGGTGAATTCGTTGGCTCGTCATTCTGGCATTGGATTTCTTGAGTAATTTTGTGCAAAAAAGTCAGTGCCTTTCTGTGATTTATTCACTCTTTATATCACAATTTATTTATCACATTTTGCCTCTCTGATTTTCGTCCTCGCTTTTTCCCTGTGTTTAGATCATATGTAGAGATATCGTTTCTGATCACTTCTTTTTCTATTATTTAACCACTGAATCATTAATTATCATTTTTCTAGATTAGTATTTGTGCTAGGTTTATTTAAATAAAGCTGCTAAATACAAAAGTTGTGACACTTTTTTTCAAACGGCTGTATAAAATTTCAAAAAACAGTATTTGGCTCACTTTTTGTTTTTTAGCATTTGTTAAACTGTTTTTCCTTATTTTTAAAAAGAAACAACGTTTTTGTTTAGGTTCGCTTTCAATATGGATGCTAAAAAGAGGCGCACTGTGATACTTGAGTTGCACAAAGCCGGAAAGATACCGATGGAGATTGTTCGAGTCACCGGATATCCAAAAAAGTCTGTCTATCGAGCCATTGAACGATTCAAGGAGCGGGGCAACGATCAGGACCGTCCAAGAAGCGGCCGACCAACCACAGTCGTCACTCCAGCGAACACAAACAAAGTCAGATGCCGAATCCGTCGAAATCCCACTCGTTCAATGAGAAAGATGGCCACAAGCCTTGTAATCAGCGAAAGAAGCGTTCGAAGGATTGTTCATAAGAAACTTGGAATGTTCAGCTACAAATTTGCTCGGGCTCATTTCCTGAACGACGCCATGAAGCAAAAGAGGATGGCTAAAGCAAAGAAGATGTTGCACCTGGTCGCTGCTGGTCGTTTGGACAAGGTTGTGTTCACATCTTCACCTTTCAAGCTATCCATAATCGCCAACTTCTCAAGCGAGGTTTGAAAAACACTTTTGCAGCCAAATTGATGGTCCGCCAACATTTTCCGAAGTCCGTTATGGTGTGGGCCGGCATCTGTGCCACAGGAAAGACGCCTCTTGTGTTCAGCGATCGAAATGTGAAAATCAACGCTACGGTCTACCAGCAAAAGGTGTTAAAGGATGTCTTAGAGCCCTGGGCAGCGAATCATTTCGGACAAACTGGATTTACCCTTCAGCAGGACTGGGCGTCGGCCCATGGAGCTCGCTCGACTCTCGCTCGCTGCAATCAGCTGTTTCCGGGCTACTGGGGTAAGGACATTTGGCCGTCGAATAGCCCCGATTTGAACCCCCTGGACTTCTCCGTTTGGTCGATCTTGGAAGACAAGGTCTCTGGCAAGAGATTTCACACCGTGGATTCTTTGAAAGCCGCTTTGAAGCGGACCTGGGCTGAAATCACTGTTCAGCAATGCGCGACCATCGTCGGCAACTTCCGCAAGCGATTGAAGAAGTGCATCGAGGCCAAGGGTGGAAATTTTGAACATTTGTTATGATTTTTTGTTAGTTTTGTCTTCAATAAACAATTTTTTATCGTTTTTTTGATTAATATTGCCCAAGTTTGCAACTTTTATTTCTCTTAGAAAAAGTGTCAGAACTTTTGCCGCACCCTGTATTCCACCACTCTCAGCCCCCTCAACTTTCCGCTCAATCAACACTCCACAAATTTGTTTTCTAAAACGTGCCATCAACTGAAAGCTACCGTAATCAAATTTATTAAGATTTTGGTTGACTTTTAACGATGGATATTTTAAAATCATTTACAATTGTGGTAAGTTTAATCAAAATACTCAAAAATTTTGCGATTTCAGCCGGGAAATCAGGAAATTAGTCAAAAGTATCAGTTGATTTCATCATTTAAAGCTAAATATGTGTGAAAAAGGCGTCTTTCAGAAAAAAATCTACATGTTTTTATTCCAAAATCATATTTAATCATTCAGTTACCACCTCGAAATGACCGCTTAAGCAAAGTGTCAAAGTTAAACAAAGATATTGCTAGTTAGATAAGCCACTGGAGATTCAAATAACGTAAGTATGCAACAAATTTAAAGAACATAAGCCTCATTTTGTGATATGTAATCCAAATCCAATAACAAATCAATCCAATTGCACGCAAGGAATCTTTCCAATCATCCCTTTAGTTCCTGATTGAGCTTTCAACATCAAGATCTGAAATCGAATGAATTGGGGATGTAGCATTCATAAAAATGTAATCGCTGTATGCTTGACGAGGTTTACATTTGGTCGCACGTATTTTTTTCTGCCAACAAACCCACCTCATTCTGTAGCGCTCTAAACTGTGCCTCTCTCTGTGCATCAGACTAAAATTGAATTGTGGGCTTTGTTAAATCGTAATATCTTTAATATCGTTAATATCTTTGTTTCAAGCATTCACTCACCGCAATCTTTTCTTCCCTCAGCTGACTCGTTTCCATACATTTCCCAGCCAGCGTTCGCTCCATTTTGGCCATTTCCAAGCTCCGAGTTTTGCGTTCTTCTCGTAAGAGCCGATTTTCATCATTGAGCTTCTAAAGTTTACAAAAATTGACTGATTTGAATTTTTCATTGCTAGATTTACCTGAATGATGAGAACGAGCTGCGAGTTTTGCTCTTCTGATGTTGAGGTGCTTGATGCGTTTGATAGAGACTCTAAAATCGAGGGATTGTCAGCAAAATACAGGGTGCACCGAAAGTTTTTAGCTAAATTTAGCTAAAATTTATTTAATTCACTTCATTTGTTGTGTTTTTAAAAATAAAGTTGTTGCAATTAAGAATTGTGTTCCTTGGTTACCAACCAAAAGTTATACTGAGGCGTTTGATTTTATGTAAATTTAGTTTGATTTTGCGTGTGGTAGCAGGACTTGTTTCGTTTTCGTTTCGTTTCGAAAGAAGATAACAGAACTTTTGGCGTATCCTGTAGATCTTCAATATTAAATAAACCAAAATAATCGTTTGAATAGCAAAAAAATTGCCTTTGAATCAGTGTTTACCTGTTCTCTGCTTCCAATCCTCATCCTTTATGACATCTTGACGCAATAGTGATAGCTGGGGCTAAAATGACTGACATCTATAACCCGAGCCTTCAAAAGTAGCTAAACCGATCAAGCTTCACTTACCATTGAAATCTCCACAGCTTCAACCGGGATCGCAGTACTTTCACTTGTCTCCACATCACTCATTCGAAACGATCCGTCTTGCGTATAACCAAATTGTTCGACATATTTCTCAAGCGAGCCTTTTCTTTGTTCTTCTCGTTTTTTCATTGGTTTGGTGTTTTTTGGTGTCTTTGGTGCCGATTTCTGAAGTTTTTCCATCAAGCTCGCTTTAAACAAACCCACCTTCAAAATTTTTTTTTGCAGATAATCATGCATTTTTGCGGAATGCTGTGGATAGCATTTATTAATCAGCTGTCTCCACTCCTCGATCATTTCTGAGTCTCTAAAATGAATGATGATTAAAATGACTGAAAAAGCAAACATGGCATCGATCGTTGCTCCTCGACACTTTTTGCGATGCTTTTTGAAGTTGCAGAGTTTATGATTCGTGGTGTCACATTCTAAAAGACAACGAGTGAATTTAAATAATATGCAAATTCTAGAAGCAAAGCAAACTAACTAGAGCATCGAAATTGACGAGTCGACGCATGAGTGATCATGTGTTCAAAGAGATGTGCTGTCCCCGGTTTTTTCAGACGAGAGCCACAACGCTGAAATTCTAACTTGATTGACTCAATGATATCTTATTTTCAAACAAGACTGAAACTAACAAGACAGGGGACTTTATCCCGAAGAGTGAAGTGTTGTTGGATACTGAGGTTGGAGTTTGTGTTAGAGTTTTTTTCCGCCCCATCAGGGCTGATTTGATAGGACATATTGTAGGTGTTCCCAGATTCGACAGATGATTCGTGTTGCTTCTAAATCTTTGGCTTTAGTGTTTTAAGAAATCTCTTGTCGAGAGGAGAAGGCTAATCAGAATTAAGAAGTAGACCAAAAGATCGAGAGTTCAATATCAAGTCAGAAGAATAGAAATAACGGTGTGAAGTTCGCTACAGATCCTAAGACAGGTTAAACGAGATTTTGGAGTACTTTGCCGCTAGCTTACCAAAATTGGTATACAAACGGTGATGAGGACAATACTCAAATATTTTGTCGATAAAATGAGAAAAGAAGTTTTAGAGACGGGGTTCTTCGTTATTGCCAGAGGCACTTTTTATCCCGCTCCTCCCCTTTCCCGCTTCTTTCTGGCCCTTTCTGACTCACGCACTTGACTAATCCGACGAAAGATGAATAAATGAAATTCAAAGCTCAAAAAAATTCTGGTGAAATATCTTGAAAACTTCCAGATCGAGTTGTTCACTGATACAATCATCTCCAAAAGCTTTTGACAAGTGAACCGTGAGATTGAACTTTTGGAGAACCAGTGAAAAATGATGTCCTTGAAAATGAAAAATGACCTTAAGAAAACGGACTCCGAAAGGTTTTTTACTACTGTAGCACTAATCGAACTTTTTAGACTAACAAAGAGTCTTCAACTAATAGCAAACAATAGAACCGGACCTGTTGCTAGGCATCCAGGTAAATCGCCCGACTTCATCCCTGCACTTGAGATTAAAAGTTGCGAAAAAGAAATTTCTCTATTTTTTGATTCTCATTACATTCGATGCTTAGTCACCGTCCTTTTCCCGTATTTTTGAGGCTGAGAAAGAAGGGAAGAGAGAGTAATTTCGACTCAGCATCGATGTAGGGATGACGACTCAAGTGAAGGGATGAAGTCGGGAGATTATCTGGTTGCTTAGCAACCGGTGTTCTGTAGAGGATAGTAATCCCACAAAACGACCGTCGCTTTTACGGGTCAATTTCCCCCATTTTTTTCTTTGCCACCGATGCTAATTGAGACAAATGGGACACTGTTAGCACTTATGTGGCCAAATTGTCAAATGGTTTTGCAAATTATCAGTCTAACCTTTTAAAAACCCCAGTAAATTAATTTTACAAGAATCATGATGAGAGGAATACATGGCTGCTGTCTAGAATGTATTAGAGAGTAGAAGGCTAATCAGAATTAAGAATTCGACCAAAAGATCGAGGGTTTAATATCAAGTCAAAGGAACAGAATTAACGGTGTGAAGTTTGCTAGGGATCCTAATATTAGCTTGGTAAATATGAAAGGGTTTTTTTACAAAAAATGTTGCCCTGTCGTTACGATTAGCATTGGCTGTCTAGGATTTTTCTCAATAATATGTCAAAATCTGCTTATGTTTTTTTGCAAAAACTTTTTTGTTTTGAAAAATGTTTGTATTGTTTCGGCTCGACAAAGATGGATGACCAAAAATTTAAAATCAGGACTGCCATCTTCTTTGAATTCAGGTTAAAAAAGAAAGCTACAGAATGCCATCAGAACATTTGTACTGTTTTTGGAGAATCCACTCTTACTTACAAACAATGTTGTGTTTGGTACGAGCGCTTCAAAACGGGAAACGAGTCATTGGAAGATGCACCACATGGAAAGCCGCCGATTACTTTGGACGATCAGCTGTTACTGAACGAGGTCGACTTGGATCCATCGCAAAAGTGTAGAAAATTAGCAGAAAAGTTCGGATGCACTCTGTTACCATTTACACGTTCTTGGGAAATCATATCGAAGCGGGAAATGGCTCCCCCACGACCTCACTGATGCCCACAAAGTCACACGAGTCACCTTGAGCCCTGTTCTTCTACGTAAAGCTAGCCATCGTGACTTTTGGAAGTATTTTTTGACATCTGATGAGACTTGGCTTTCGTATGAAAACATTCAACTCCATGGACAGTGGCTGAGTTCGAAGCAGACCTCTCGTCCTATCCCGAAGCCTCCGAAAAAGTTATGCTTTGTGTGTGGTGGAATGCTAAGGGATTGGCTCATTTTGAAATATTAGATAAAGGAGACACTGTTGACGAAAGACTTTATGCAGAACAAATGGGTCGAGTCGGTCCAGCATTGAGGAAAAAGAGGATCGATCCATCGAAGGTCAGATTTCTTCACGACAATGCTAGCCCTCACATTTCAAAGATCGTCCACGAACAAATCGATAAGTTGAGCTGGAAACTTTACCCACCATACAGCCCTGATCTAGCCCCATCGGATTACCATCTCTTTCGGTCAATGAAACAAGCAGTTTCTGGACAGCAGTTCAAACAAAAGCAGGACATCGAAAATTGGGTTGCCAACTATTTTACCTCTAAAAATCTTCAATTTTACGAGGACGGTATTCGTGATTTGGGGCAACGTTGGAAAGAAGTTATTAATGCTTCTGGTGAATACATTTGATTTTGAAAGTGTTTAAATAAACTTTTCTGTTATGTTAAAAATGATCAAAAAATAACCTTCATATTTACCAAGCTAATACAATTTAAACTTCCTGTTAAGTAGCAAATACTGATCTAGTGCAATAAAGAATAATCTAGAATAATAATAAATAAAATAAAATAAATATTCTAGAATAAAATAATCTAGAATCTAAGTCTATTCCAGATAACTTTTATCCTAATTTACCGAAATCAAGTCTTTTTCCGATTGTTAAATCCTTTCTTGATGCCCATTATTCCTTATCTTATCAGAGTCGTGGGGGGTCATGGCTCCTAAATACAGGGTGGGGCAAAAGTTTGGAGCCGCTTCTTAAGATAGTTGAAGATTTAAAAAATAGCTTAAAAAAAGTCAAAATTTAATAACAAATTCTTTATTCAAATCATAACAACAAATAACTTATAACAAATGCTCGAAATTTCCACCATCCGCTTCGATACACCTCTTTAAACGCTTTGGGAAGTTGAACAATGGTGGCGCACTCTTGAACAGTTATTTCATCCCAGGCTCGCTTCAGAGCAGCTTTTAAAGCATTTTAAAGCGCCGGAGCCCAGCCCTGTTGAAGAGAAAAACCAGGTTGTCCAAAGTGATTTGTTGCCCAAGGTTTCAAGACATCTTTTAATACCAGTTTTTGGTAGTTTGTAGCATTTATCTTGATATTTCTGTCCAAAAAACAAGAGGTGTCTTGCCTGTAGCACAAATGCCTCCCCACACCATAGTCGAAGCTGGAAAATGCTTCCCGACCATCAAATTTGCCGCAAATGTGTTCTTCAGACCTCTTTTGAGAAGTTGTCCATGATTTTGGCGGTTGTGCAATGGCTAGATAGAAAAAATCTTTTCATCTGTGAAGAGGATCCTCTCAAGTCGGCCATTCGCCACCAAGCGCACCATCTTCTTTGCTAGAAGCTTTCGTTTCTTCTTGGATTTGTCGCTCAAGAAGTATGCTTTGGCCAATTTGCAGCTACAGATTCCTAGTTTCCCTTTAACAATCCTTCCAACGCTTCGAGGGCTAATTTTCAGCTGTTTGCCCATCTTTCACATCGACCGCAGCTTGTTTTAGCGAATTCGACAACGAATTTTGTGGATACTCGTAGGTGTTACGGCAGTTGGTGGTCGACCACTTCGAGGGCGATTCTTGTTGCTCTTTAGCTCCTTGTAGCGTTTGATTGCTTTGTTGAAGGTGCTTTTTGGATTATCGTGATTTTTACGATCTCCGGGCTATTTTTCCGCCTTGGTATAATCCGATAATTACATCACGTCGTTGTTTGGCGTTCATTCTTTTGAATTGTCTCCTGAAAAGAAATTTTTTTAACAAATCACCTTAACTATACTCGAAAAAAAAAAAAAGTATACGAGACACAAAAAAAAGCATGAGCTAAATTTTCTGCAACGCTCCAAACTTTTGCCACACCCTGTAATTTAAACAAAAGAACATATTTTGTTAAAACTTTCTGAAGAAATCTTTTCAACGTGAACGTGATTTCAAAAGTATTAGGTTGTTCGGATATAAACAAGCGTTGCTAAACTTATTGTTGTGAGAGAAGCTTTTAAAAAAGTCGTTCTGTATTTAAAAGTACGTTATCTTGTGCATATTTGGAATCTTTTTAAACGGATAATTTCTTATTTTTAGGATCTTTTTTTCTTGCTTTAGATGACCGACTTCAAATATCAAGTTCGCGTCTGCCTACTTTACGACTTCAAACTGGGCAAAAAAGCCGCAAAATCCCATCGAGATTTGGTCAAAGGATTTGGGAATGATGTATTGTCCGAAAGCCGATGC